CTCAGTCCCTAAAGAACATCCTGATAATCCCCCAATTCTTCAAGCACATGAATTCAGAATGAAAGGTTTGCCATGGCTAAGGAATGTGACACATTGAAAACGATATTAACATCTGAGGAACTTTCTAAAAACTTTGGTTTTAGGATTTTTTTTCCCTTTAGGTAAGTAATGATTTGTAAACTCATCATTTGACTGTTCATAGTCTGTTGCATGGTTACTTTTAAGTGTGGAATCAAATCGAGTGGCATTTAGTTGAGGCGGCCTGTTCCTTGCCATGGCAAAGTATCAAGAAGATCCCCAAGTCAAGTCACATTTGTAAAGCTGCTTCCCAATTGGCTTTGTCACGCAGTTTTGAAGCAGTGGGAGAGAGATTGACCTGTTATAAAGGAACTGACTAACACGAGTATCCCGTCTATATCTGAATGCTGTCTCTAGGTGTAAGCCGTGGTTTCGCCTTCGTGGAGTTTTATCACTTGCAAGATGCTACCAGCTGGATGGAAGCCAATCAGGTTGCTTCACTCACCAAGTCTAGATATTCATGAAAATGGAACAAGTCTGTACAATTAAAAAAAAAAAAAAAAAGGTTGAAGGAGTGGTTTGTTCCAAAGGAGTGACTTTAAAAAAAAAAAAAAAAAAAAAGCTTTGTATATATTAAAATTGACATTGTTAGGATAAATATAGTATAAAATACTGCATTGAAGAACTTGTTCTGCTGTAAGCATGACTACCTGGCAGACCTCTAATTACTGAATACCTGTCTGGTAATTACCAAAATATCTTAGTCTTCTCTTTTGCCCTACCGGATTATATTCCTATTTATTATCCATTGAGAGTAATCTTAATATTATCAAACTCTCTGTTTAACCATGAAGAGAATACAATGGAACTCTGTGACAAACAGTATCATAATTAATTTCTTATACCTGCCTAAGGACCACAGGCCTCTTGGAGGCATAACTGTTCAGGTGGTCTTCAGGAACTATTTAAGGACATAGTGGGATTTATGAACAGTCTGATGAGGTTACTCTTGGAGCTATGTCCTACTATATAATGTAATTAAAGTGGCGTTAACATGCTAAGCTCCCTGAGAATATTTAATGGAGTGTGTTCAAATGGTTCTTAGATATGTTAACTGAAGTATTCTTCAGTTTGTCAAGATAATGTTTAATGCTTGACACTTAAATAAAATTTTTTTGCAAGAATTTCAAAGTACAATACTGAATGCCTTTAAGAGCATTTGGGAAGTTTATTAGACTCATGACTTTTCTACAATGTTTTATGATTGAATTGCCCATGAATAAGAATTCTTTGATTAGTAATATCACTATTTGTAATAAGACTCACTAATAAGGGGGTATTTCTTGTAAGACTGATGTTTAAAACTGTCAGTTTCTTAACTCAGAAGTCACACCCTAATCTTGTAGAAGTGGATCTTCATTTCATACCACAGATAACATCCTAGTAAATCTAGAACATACACAAGCTTTACGTGAGTCCCTTTTCTTGATGGCATCATTTTGATGCAGTGGATGTTTCAGAATGACTAACCTGGGAGTTTAAAACTCCTAAGGAATTAAAGTCTGTAAGACATTTAAAAATCGCCACAATTTTAATGTATACAAAGCTATATTAATGTGTAATACTTGATTATAGTTCAAATTCACTCCAGAAATAAAGGCCAATAGGATTAGGAACTCAGAGGTAGTTTGGAATCTCCCTCAACACACATCCCTCTTAGCAGGGTGATTTGTTGACATATCTCCCAGCTTATATTTGCTTCTATACATCACAGTATTGGATGGCCCTTCAGTACTTTCCCTCTTGGCCAGGCATGCAGACTTGCCTTTAGATATTACAGAGACAAAATTCACAGTATGAATATGCTTTAAATATTCCAGAGTTTTTATGAGCCAAATTACTTGATTTAATTGATAACATGTTTAGAGGAATTAGGTTAGTTTTAGAAATCTGGATAATTGGGGCTGGGAGATAGCTCAGTGGCATAAGCACTTGCCTGGCAAGTGCAAGGTACTGAGTTTGATCCCCAGTACTGCAAAAAAGAAAGCTGTATGTCTAACCTGCTACTGCTCCTTAATCTGTTCTGGTAGTGCCAGACCACCACTACTCCCGTCGTCCCCTCCAAAAAAAAGATGCTCCTATTAAATGAAGGCTCTTTGGGGGCAGGTGCTAGGTATACTCTTAGCTAGACTGATTCAGCTTGGAGTTTTGACCTTTTAAAGTTGAGTTCCTTTTAGTCATTTGGTTGACTTTAAGGATGAAGTAGTGTACAGTTTATGAACTTTTCCTACCCCCCTGAAGAAACTTCATTGGCCTCCTGGTTATTAATCCTGAAGCAAGTACCATCAGTTCCAATAAAAAACACCTAGGACATGACATGGTTGCAGTTGACAGGAAAAAATCTCATTTAGCTATTTTAGAGTTGGTGGCATTCAGAACAGACTTCCTAAGAAAGAGTTATAATCAGATTCCCTTTAAAAGTGTGTTCCCTTCCCCTTGTCCTCTCAAAGGCTACATCCTGAAACAGTTTTTAGGGGAAGGGGAAATATAAAGGCTTTTACTTTGCATAAGGCTGAGGGACTGGGAAAAAGTGAAGCAAAGCCCAAGGACACCATGCTAAGGGCTAACACAGGAGACAGACTCAAGACTGGGAGAGGTCTGTCTTCTGCTTTTGAAATAGACTGTCACTCACAGGCAGCCTGTCAATGCTGAATGTTAGAACTTCTGTCTCTGCTGGAGACACGGCCTGGTGCATGTCAGCGTATAGTGTTTGGCAGCTTTCTCAGCACTCCCTGATTCCGTTTACCTTTACTCCGCATCCCATTCTCTTACTGCCTATCTGAAGGATTGGATGGGCAGAGTATAGGTGGCGGTGGTTGGTCCTCCCCGTATGTTGTCCATTAATTCCAGAGCACTGATTTTTCCGAAGTGTGCTCTGCCCTGGGAAAATGGACACATGTTCCTCACAATGGGAATAACTAATTACTTCTTTTCTTACAGAAAAAGTTGGTGATTCAAGGAAAGCACATTGCAATGCATTATAGCAATCCCAGACCTAAGTTTGAAGATTGGCTTTGTAATAAAGTAAGCATGTATCTTTTTTTTTTTTTTTTTTTTTGCGGAACCAGGGATTGAACTCAGGCCCTTGAGCTTGCCAGGCAAGCAATTATTGTACTGAGCTATCTCCCCGGCCCCAGCATGTATCCTTCAAAAATAAGCAAATCTCCTTTGGGATT